GCGTAACAGGCAACTATTCTTCCGACGATAGTACCATGAGGGAAAACAGAGCACTGTGTGGCTAGCCCGTGCCCTGGGGTAGAGCCAGCTCTGCCCTTCACTCTCTGTGGCTTTTGTCAGGTCCCTCATTGAGTCTCAGCTTCCCCATCTGCAACACAGGGGCAAGGGGGCAGGGTTGCAAGAGCATACTGTTACCGACTAGGCTGCTGTGGATACCCTGTCAAGGTAAGACAATGGGAAGGAGGCAGTTTGCCCCTGTAGTGCCTATGCACGCATCAGGCTGCACTACAGAGCGCTAAGACATCCTGACCTTGAGAGATGTTAACACTTGTTATTTGAAAAGAAATTTTGTCTAAGTTAAATATAGGTTTGAGAAATGCTAGATTGGGAATGTTTTAAACAAATTCATCACTGCAGGACTTCTCAGGGGCCTTTAATGCACTAGGAATCTCCAGGAGTGTTTTCTAACAGGGCATGCTTTGATCCTAAGACACATTAAACACATTGGGATGGAGTTGTTGGTTTAATCAATGGGTAGTTCATGAGAAGCTTCAACCTGAAAGGCACAAGGGCTCTTGATACCCAAGAAAGCCCAGGAGAGATCCTTGACATCCGTGAAGCATCAGATCCAAGATCTCCCAGGGTGACCACATACCCTTTTGGAGTCCATTCAGGCTCCAGATGTTATCTGGAGCCATGTTTCTATCAAGAATTTCTGTGGTTGTGTTTATCCTCACATAAAGCTTCGTCTTAACATTCTGTAAAGCTTAGTCTTGCAATTGATGACCATTCATTGCCCTAACTGGAGCACCCCACAAAATGCCCCCTGGTTTCCCTTGTTTCTATGTGGAACACACAGTAGACCCACTCCCATGAATATCTGAGTCACTGCTGAATCCCATGTTCCTGTAGATAATTTATCCCAAATGTATGTTTTCTGCCACCACTTTTAAAGATCTCTTCATTATGGCTTTCCTTCCACTGTCATCACCAACATTTAGCTTGTTTTAAACGAAATGAGGTACTTTGGCTGTTTAAATCACATGTAGAGAATTTAAGGCTGTAGTGAGTGGTGAGGATTAATTTGACCAGGTCCACTCACCAGGTGGAGGGCTCCCTCCCACACACAGCCCTCATTCCTACCTCCCAATCCCTTTCTCCTGAAGGGAGCTCAAAGTGTCTACACCTGGCTTCCCTCCCCCTCTTACTGGAGGTGCAGTGGCTTTTAAATTGCTCAGATTTGGAAAGAATAGCTGGAATGCCTTAGCCCAGCTCTGCTCCTCTTCCTCTTGAAAGAGAGTTGCCTGTGACTCAGTAGACATTTGTCTAGTTCTGTAGTTTAGTTAACAGGCTTTTTTTTCCCCTTATTCCCCACCTGCCCATGTCTTAACTTGCTCAGACCCCACACAATAAAGGGGGCAGGGGAGAGGGAAGAGCTTCTTTCTCTCCAGATGATACTGAGCACCAGAAGACTAAGTAGGCAATAAATGCCACAGGAGTGTGGAAGTGGAGGTGAGCACCAAGGCCTGCTACGTGAAGGCATAACAACACATAATATGGAGGTTAGCATTGGAGAAGCCCTTCCTACAAGCCAGGGCTGTGTGAAGCGCTTCTCATGGATTAGCTCACCCAATTCTCACATCCTGCAGGTACTCTCATGATCATCATTTACAGACTAGGAAGTTGAAACTTTCACATGCTAATAACTCACTGGGATTGGAGTCCATTCTTTCTAAGCAGAAAGAGATCCTTGTGGAGAAACCGGATCTTGACTGCAGGTCAGTGTACAGAGCACCCTTGACATAAGCAACTCCATCTTAGAAAAAGACTTCATCTTACATTTCAAAAGGCATCAAGGACCAGATGTTTTGCCTCATTAAAAGACTGCATTCAACCAAATAAGGACATAACCTAACACACTCTTCCACTGTGAGCTCTCACCAGAGGACTGGCCATAAAAGAGCAGGACTTCAACAGCTCGGAGCAGCCAACTTAACAGATGCTGTCTTGCTGTCATTTGTGATAAGCACCTGGCATCTGCCGCCGAAGGCTCTGCGCATGTCAAATATTCTTCCTCGCAAGATGCTGATGCTCACTGGCACCTGGGCCTCTCCAGGACATATTTTTGTTCATGTTGCTCTCCCTGGACTGGTTTGCTAACTCTTTTTCCTATCCCTTTTCTCTTGATGACAAATGTTACTTTGTTTGACTGAAATATTTAATTTATAGTATTTATATATTGATTAGGTATACTGTGACGTGTGACTTGCAATACTGACTGACTTGGGGAGTGGCTTGAGCCAGTGTGCCCATGGCTCTGACTATGGAATAAATGGGTGGTACCAAGGAGAATTGCCTCCTTGGGAACGCCATGCAGCCTGTGGCTTTTATGACTGAATTAGCATCAGCAAAAGTCTGACCTCGTGGAAAGACACAAACATGTATAGATCTGGTTATCTCTGACCTTGTGCCCCTCATGATAATTGAACTCAGAGCAAAAGAGAGAAAAGGGAAGATACTGGCTGCTGGGAGCTGCCCTCACCATGGTGATGCCCGGCAGGTAGAAGGCCACATGGGCTCCTCTCCACCAGCCCCATGAACAGGCTCCTGGGAAGCCTCACCTTCCAGGCAGTCCTGCTGATGCTGTTGTTGTTGCATTGGGTAGACATCTGCCCCCATGTAATCTCTCCACCCTGGGCTGTGTCAAACTGCCCGCAGGAAATGTCACCTCAATAATAATGAAAAACAACTAGAGAACTTCTTATCTTTTCTTTTGCAGACCAGAAGCTTCCAGTTCCTCTAATTCTTATCCGATGGTTCTTATGCATGTGGCTATTCAGTTTTCCCAGCAGCATGGGTTGAAGAGGGTGTCCTTTCTTCAGTGTATGTTTTTGGCACCTTTGTTGAAAATAAATTGGCTGTAAATGCGTGGATTTATTTCTGGGCTCTCTATTCCATTCCTTTGGTTTATGTGTCTGTTTTAATACCAGCACTATGCTGCTTGGGTTACAATATAAGCTGCTACATTTTAAGATCATTTGTTATGCAGCAACAGTAACCAGTATACTGTTTTTTATAATCCAGGTGCCTGATTTTGATCTTATTGCCTTCAAGATTGAGGGAATAATTTCTACGCATTTGAAAGAAATCAAGATCCGCTTACATTTCCTAGTTGGTTAAGCACATAGTTTCAGATCTTTTCTCTATTTCAATTACATATTCCTGGGAACAAAACTGCTTTCCTTGAAAGCTGCTCCAATGTTCTAAGGGACTGACACTTTTAGTTATTTAAACACATGATGAGTCGCTTTTAATTACAGTGCATTTTCTAAGAAACTGCCTTATTTTCAGAATGGCTATACCATTTTTGCATTCCCACTAGCAATGTATGAGAGTTTTCCTGTTCTGTATTCTGGTTAGCACTTGATATTGTCAATTAAAAAAAGAGGTAGTCATTCTAGTAAGTATGCAGTTGTATCTCAGTAAAATTTTAATTTCCATTTTCCTAATGACTAACAATGTTGACAGTCTTATGTGCTTATTATCACCTACATATTTTTTTATTTTTTTTTCATGGAATGTCTTTTTAGATCTTTTTTATTGGGCTGGTTTATTTGCTTTCTCAATGTTGAGTCCAGGTCCTTTACTAGGGAAACTTAGAAAGTGCTGCAGCAGTCCTCGTGACAGACAGTGAGAAAAAGAGATGTTCTACCTAGGTATGTCTGCCACAAGGGGCTCAGGGTATGGAGTTTATATGAGGATTTACAGAATTTGGCTCAGGGCTGGGGATAACTTCTTTTAGTGTTACAGCAACAACCTAAATGCCTTTATTTGTGCCTAGAAATGTTCAGGTCCCCAGCTTGGTTCAAGCTACAAGAGACAAAACAAAGCTGGTCAAGTTACAGGGTGCTCAAGACAACTCTCTCTCAGGTGGGATGGAGCAAAAAGTGGGGGGACCCGGGGGACTCTACAATCACACAAATGAATCTCAAACTCATTATGCTGAGAAGAAAGCTAGACACAAAGGAGTAGGTACAGCATGGTGACATTTATATATGATATTCTAGAACAAGCAAAGCTAAGCTAGAGCACCATAACGCAGATCAGCGATTGCCTGGGACAGGGAGTAAGGGGGGTCATCCACTGACATGGGGCATAAGGTGCTTTTTGAGGTGTGAAAATGTCCTGTATTTCATAATGGTGGTGATTCACAGAGGTATGCAATTGTTTAATTTGTTGACCTGTACACTTAAAATGGGTACAAGCGGATGAGACTTCAGTATTCGTAAAGAATCTGCTTTGTTGCAAAATGCCAGAAAAAAAAAAAATGCTGTCCCCCTGTCCTCTTTTTCTCCAAGGTCTAGAAATGGAAGTGAATGAATTTTTACAATCTCTTATTAATTAGCTGTTAAAAATCTTATGCATGTAGCTTCTTTACAGAAATCTCCAAATGCTTTTTAAATCTTTGTAACCTTCTAGGAAATACTGTAATTTGTTGATTTCAGATGAAGAATGCTTTGTTATAGTTTTATCTCTGCAGAGGTGTCATTTGGTAATTGTGATTATTTATCAAGTTCCTACCATGTGCTTCATCGTAGCCAAAATTTTCACTGTAGATGATGAAATTAGGGTGTAGGAAGGCTAAATGACTCATGATGTGACCTACAAATGGGAGAGGTGAACCCAGGTCTGGCTGATGCTAAATCCCAGGTGCTTTCTATTTTGCCACTGGTGAGAGCACAGAACTAAGGAAGCTGGAGTTGGAATTCCCGCTCCACCATTTAGTCATGTGTGACCTTGGATGGGCCACTTGACTTCAATTCCCTTATCCACAGGTTAGGCTGTTACCAGGCATTGCTCCTCATTCTGGTCTACTGCATAGTCCTAGGGGGAGCAGTTTGCATCATTACACTGTGAATGGCACCCCATGGAGGCAGCTCTGGGATGACAATCCCCCTATTAAGTTAAAAGGTTGTTGGCTGGTAGGGGTTAGTTTGTTCATGGCATCTGTCCCACAGACTCAGAACTGTGCTGCATACTATCCTCCTAGCCAAATTGCGCAACTAAGACCAAGTCCTCGCTGGACTGCTCAGGGCACCAGACCTCATCCATTCCAAAATATGCCTGGTGCTACCCGCCCAGCTGCTCCTAGACCACCGTTTAGTACTATGAGACCAGCTTCTTCACAGGTTCCACGAGTCATGTCAACACAGCGTGTTGCTAGCACATCAACACAGACAGTGTTGGGTCCATGTCCTGCAGCTACAGCTGCTGAAGCTACTCCTGCTGTCCGCCCCGTTCCACAGTATAAATACGCTGTGGGAGTCGCAATCCTCAGCAACATCTTCATGCACAGCCACAAGTTACAGTGCCACAGCCTGCTGTTCATGTCCAAGGTCAGGAAGCTTTGACTGCTTCCATGTTGGCATCTGCCCCTCCTCAAGAGCAAAAGCAAATGTTGGGTGAACGACCGTTTCGTCTTATTCAAGCCATGCACCCTACTCTTGCTGGTAAATCCCTGGCATGTTGTTGGAGACTGATAATTCAGAACTTCTTCATGTGCTTGAGTCTCCAGAGTCTCTGTTCTAAGGCTGATGAAGCTATAGCTGTACCACAGGCCCACCAAGCTAAAGAGGCTGCCCAGAAAGCTGTTAACAGTGCCACCTGTGTTCCAGCTGTGTAAAGTTGATCACAGACCACGAAAAGAAACTTGTGCTTCACCTAAGAAAAATATCTAGACATCGAAAACCTTAAATATTATGGAAAAAAATTGCAAAATATAAAATAAATTTAAAAAGGAAAGGAAACTTTGAACCTTATATACTGAGCAAATGCTAGGTCTAGCAAACATAATGCTAGTCCTAGATTACTTATTGATATAAGAACAAAACAAAATTTAAAAAGCACAAAAAAATAGTAAACTATGAAAACAAATTAATGTTTTATAGACCATGGGAAAAAGAATTTTCAGCAAAGGACAAAAATTTAAGGAATTCCTTTCTTTAATTTTGTAATTATTTACTGTGGAATAGCTCAAAATGTCAGTTTTGTTTTAAGTAGCAGAATTGAAAACTGAGAAAGAAAACGTAATTTGGATTATAAAATTCTTGCTTTAATAAAAATTCCTTAAACAGTGAAAAAAAAAAACATTGTTGTGGGGTTTCTACCCAGAAAATGTATGTAGAATACTCTGAAAATCCTTAAGTACTGATCGCAAATAAGGTAGTATCAGTACTGTTACTCAGAATCCTTCAATAGCTTCCACATTTCCATGGAATCTACTGTGAACTCCTCAACTCTTTATAATCTAGCCAAGACCAGCAGTCAATCTTATCTCTCTCCACTCTTTGCTCCATGCCTGCTACCTCTGCCAGGCCCATGCCTTTCTTAACTTCAGATGTCATTGACTGCCTGTTGGCATGTCGTGTGATGTGGGATAAAACTCCCCAGATAAAGTGAGAGGAGTGGAAGCCAGATGCACCACGATGAGTCTTCAGAATTCCACCCTCTGCTGAAGACCTGCAGGTGTCTCTGAATGCTCTGTGGGGATGGAGCTTCTGAATGTGTGTCATCCTAACAGATGTACATAATGTATTACACATTGTAAAATGTGTCCCTGGCTCTTGGCTCCTGGCATTAGGATGTGAACCTATCCATTCCCTAATTTCATTCCTGCCTACCCCTGCACAGGGACCAAGCCCACTTATTGGCTTTGGTAGGTCTACTTTCTTTTTCCTGGAAACTCTCCCTACCCCTTCCACATGGCCAAATTCTATTCATCCCTGAGGCCCTTTCTCTTCCATGAAGCCTTTCTCAGTCCCACATGGATCTGTTTTCTGAAACCCACAGGACTTGCATTTGACATCGTGCATGCTGAATCAGAGCACAAGATATTATACTATCTTTCAGGCCACCCTGAGTGGATGCCTCAGAAAAACCATGATACATATTTTCATGACACTGTCCACATGCCATGCACTGGTCTCCATGTATCCGAGTGTATTTACTCCTCACCACACAGATCCTGCAAGCTAGGCATTGCTATATCATTTTGCAGTAGAGCACGTGGAGACACACAGAGGTTACGTAACTTGCCTAAGGCGATATCACTATTAAGCGGTAAAGGTAGGTTTTGAACCCAGGTGTCCAGCAGCAAAGTCCAGGCTCTTACTATCACTCAAAAACTTTGTTTTAGCCAATTTGAATATGCTATCTTGAATATGCTGTAGATTAAATACTTAAATGTTTCTTTGGTTATGCTTTGCTATATTTGCGCTTTCTTGGTATTGTATCAGATCTCTGTTGTCTCTGATCACCAACAGGGTTATAGACTCTTTAAGGTGGAAACCGAGCCCCTCCCGCCCTTTCTTCTCTTTCCCTCAGATTCTCTCCCTATTCTTTCTTTCTCTCTCTGTCTCTCTCCCTCCTTCCTCTTTGTCTTTTGTTCCTATGTTTTCTTCATCATGAAGCATACGGCACAGTCCTACACACATATCAAATGTTTGAGAAACACTTTGGCAAATTACATTCGTTTGTCCAGTTAGTCTGTTTATCAAAGATCACACCATGCTTGGTCAGAGTTCTTCCCACAAATATTGGGTGAATACCTACTTTGTGCCCATTACTATGCTAGGTCCCAAGGGACACATCAGCACATACAGCAGGCACATGGCTCTGCCCCGTGATGCTTATGTCAGAGTGGCATTCTACCCACACTATGCATTTGCTTAGCCCTGTATATTTTTCAGAGACCTTTCACATATTTATCTTAGTTGGTTCCATGGCAATGCTATGACTTCAATGTCATTACAGTTTAGAGATGAGAAAACTGAGATCCAGCAAGTTTAAATTGCTACCCCAAGGTCATGCAGCTGTGTGTGCCACAACTGAAACTCAAACTCAAGTCTTCTAGACTTGTCTAAACCTTTTCAGATACCTCTCGCCCCAGCAAAGTATCCTATTGGACCCTGCAGAAGAGTTATTTTATTCCTTTGCCAGGAAATTCTTATTTCATTCTTTTTCCTGTCTCTTGATGTGTCAAATCAATGCTTATTCAGGAATTATAAATCCTAGCACTTTGGGAGGCCGAGACAGGCAGATCACTTGAGGTCAGAAGTTTGAGATCAGCCTGGCTAATACGAAGAAACCCTGTCTCAATTAAAAATACAAAAATTAGCCAGACGTGGTGGCACATGCTTGTAATAGCAGCTATTCTGGAGGCTGAGGCAGGAAAATCCCTTGAAACCAGGAGGTGGATGTTGCAGTGAGCTTAGATCATGCCATTGCACTCCAGCCTGGGCGACAGAGTGAGATGCTGTCAAAAAAAAAAAAAATTAACTACCCCACCACCGCCACCAAAAATGAACAATGCCAATGGAGTAAAGCATCTCTAAAGCAGCACTCGTTGCAAGGATTTCTTAGCTGAGTGGTTACTATGTGGTGTCAATCATGAAAAAGAAGAACGGAACCAAATTCAGTATCTTTCTGAAAACTTGCAAAACCTGAGAAGCTAGTCTGTTTAAAACAGGAAGTTATATAGTTACATCGTGTACTACCTTACTAATGTCTTAGATCTGATGCTATCTCTGGTTTCAAGAGTGGTGACACCTAAGCTGTCACTGGACATACCAAGGACTTCACTCACTTAGCAGGTGCCACTCATCTTGTGCTTATCTGGGCAAGAACTTATTGAAATACAACAGAAGTTGTTTACTTAGAAGAGATTCTCAGGTAGGTGTCGCTTTTCCAGGAAGAGGGAGGGGGAGCAAGGAGGGGTCCAGGCGGGTGGAAGTAATAAATTCCAACAGTGCTTTTGGATCTAGGAGGGAGGAGAAGGAAGGTACACAGCAATTTAGAGGTAGCATGGGGCCAGACTGGGAGAAAATATGGCTACATATCTCCATTTTCCTCTTGCTTTTTCTAATTTCCCCGTTCTGTCTCCCACCCACACAATGATATGTTTGCCTGTTGCACTCACCCAAACTTGGCCCTTTACACCACTTTAGTCAACATCTGTGCCCATGTTACCTTCCTGTACTTTCACAAATTCTCAGCTATTGTGCATATGACTACTCCAAAGAGCTTACACTTAATAGCTTGTGTTATAATTGGCTTGTAAGAAACAGTCAGTGAAAATATAATTTATATATATGTGTGTGTGTGTGTGTGTGTGTGTGTGTGTGTGTGTATATACAGTCCTCCCTCAGTATCTGTGAGGGATTTGTTCCAGGACCCCTGGTGATACCAAAATCCATAGATGCTCAAGTTCCTTATATAAAATGATGTAGTATTTGCTAATAACCTATGAATATCCTCAGTACACTTTAAATTATACCTAGATTTCTCATAATACCTAATGCAATGCCTACACAGTGCTTCATTCATGTGGGTTCAACATAGCACTTGCTGCATGACAAATTCAAGCCTTGGTTTTTGCAACTTTGTAGTTTTTTTCCAGATCTTTTGGATCTGTGATTTGTTGAATACACAAATGTGGAACTCATAGATACGGAGGGTCAATTATATACATATGTGTGTGTACATTAAGTATGTATGTGTGGAAATACATCTATTTATTTGAGGTTTTGAAAATCCACACTAAGTCAAGCTATTCGATGGATCAGTTGATTGATTTGGTATCTTTTTGTCTGGGTGAATGAGGTATCTCCCTCGGTATCTGTGAGGAATTTGTTCCAGGACCCCTGCAGATATCAAAATCTGTAGATGCTCAAGTTCTCTATATAAAATGATGTAGTATTTGCTGATAACCTATGAATATCCTCCAGTACACTTTAAATCATACCTAGATTTCTCGTAATACCTAATACAATGCCTACATAGTGCTTTATTCATGTGCCCTAAAATACCAATGCTGGGAAACTTTGGCAACTGGAAAGAAGTCTGCATTCATTCATGATTTGAACTTTGAGAGGTTCTTCTTGTGTATTTCCAGGGAAGAAGCACACTGGCTTCTTCATTCTGTTCCTTCACTATTCTCAGAAAGTTCTTCCCTATGTGTGGGTGAATCTAGTTTCCTGCAATGTCATAAAATCTCTAGAAGCTGTATGAGAGTCTACTTCCTCTTCCACAGGAAAAGCTATATCATAGACTTTTCTATCCTATATTGCCTTTAATTAAAAAACAAAACAAAAACCTTTGATCCAGACCAAAGGCATAAAAAAAAAAGAACTAAAATGAATCCAAAGACAATTATTTTCCTTTTTTTTAACTTTTATTTTAGGTTTGTGGGTACATGTGAAGGTTTATTATATAGGTAAACTCATGCCATAGGGGTTTGTTGTACAGATTATTTCATCACCCAGGTATTAAGCCTAGTAACCAATAGTTGTTTTTCTGCTCCTTTCTCTCCTCCCACCCTCCACCCTCAAGTAGACCCCAGTGTCTGTTGTTCCCTTCTTTGTGTTCATGAGTTCTCATCATTCAGCTCCCACTTCTAAGTGAGAACATGTGGCATTTGGTTTTTTGTTCCTGCATTGGTTTGCCAAGGATAATAGCTTCCAGCTCCATCCATGTTCCTGCAAAAGACATGATCTGGTTGCTTTTTATGGCTGCATGGTATTCCATGTGTATGTGTACCACATTTTCTTTATCCAGTCTGTCATTGATGGGTATTTAGGTCGATTTCATTCAAAGACTATTATTTTTCGTACAAAATGTTCCAAG